ATAATTGTATTTAATTCATTACAGATAATGTGCTACAAGCAGAGAACTTCAGAATATATCTGCTTGTATGGCTTTTTTTCTGTTAAATTTATTCGTGTGTTCTCTGCTGTTTGCCTACAGTACCTATCTACCCAGCTATCAATAAAACATCTGGAAATCATCAAAACACTTGCATCATTCAATTTTTCACCAAAGCAACTGCTACAAATTTGTATTGGAAGGTGCCCAATGTTTAACTTAAAACAGACATCTGTAGCAACTAGAGTGCCAAAGTGTGTTGTAATTGAAGTTACATTTTTACTCACCCAATTTTGAATACACTTGATGTCATTTAGTTTCTAATACTTACTTCTGAAATGGCATGTCTTGATGAGCTTGAGAAATGATAGTATGACATCATAGCTAAAAATTAATTACTTTTGTATTACACAAACATTCTCATTTTTACTCCTACAAGACTACACCTTTGCAATAGGCTAAGGCAAGTCAAGACCTCCCAAACAGTGTATTATGCAACAGAGGAGGGGAAAGTGTTGGAAATCGTAACGATTTTTTTGATTTAAATCATAAGTGAGATAGGTCACTCCAAGGTGTGGATGGAGACACTAAATCCTTTTGAGTTGCCACAGAAGAGAAGACAATTTCTGTTCATCCTATTTGTGACTTCGAAAATAAGTTTCATTTGGTAAATCCTAGGTAGCAAGCAACAGTTTTCAAGCACTTTGGGTAAAAGTGACATTTGCTCAGTATAAGCATCTTGTTAAAATCTTTTATGGGAAGAATCATCTTAACACAAAGGCTTAGAAATTTCCAAATATTCTTTTTGATTCTTTTAAATATTTTCACTTTTGATTCCACATCTTGTGAATTTAGACTGATATAGAAAAATATTGTCACTCACCTATTTTTGCTTTAATTTTATAATGTTTGTTTGCATATATTGTCAAGCATTCAGTATGATAATGGAAGCCAAATTAATATTCAAACTCTGGGAGAACATTTCAGAAAAAAAGTACATGATAGAAAACCTTGTTTCTTTTCACAAATTAGCATAAAATACAAAACAAAAAATTAAAAGCAGGACAGAAGTTAACATAAATGTTAATGTTAACCTTTTAGGTTTGTGTATCATTTAAATAAAACCCTTTTATACCATAGGAAGTGATAGATGTTTATATATACATAAATAACCTTATCTGAATTTATAGTCTGAAACTTTCTAGGTCTCATTCTCTTCCAGGTTGATTTTTGAAACTAGTTGGTTCTCCACCAACACTATTCCACAACTGTATAGACAAGAGTCACAACTGCTTTTCCTCATGGGGACTTTTCAGAAGAGTCTCAAGTGTGCCATTTAGCATTGAGGATTCTCATTTTACAGTCTTTTTAACTGGAAAATATAATGTATGTTTTTCATGCAAGTAGCAGTTTATCAAAATGCCTTCAAGGTCAATTTCCTTCAACCAGAAAGGTAAAAAATTTCTAAAAAGGTTTACAGAAACATTTCTTTGTAACAGTAATAACAACAAAAATTATGATAATAATGAAACAAATTTTACACTGGGGCCAGGAGAAACTATAGATTCCAAAAGTATGTCTAATTGCCATCTCCAAGTCTTGGGCTCGACAGCTCCCATTCCTGAAAATGCTGAAGAGGTTTAAGTCTAACCCAAGACATGGAAGAACTCACAAATGGGAGGACTAGGGGGTCCAACCTGCTGATTGCCCTTCTCTCCTGCTGCATGGGGTAGCCACAAGGAGATGTTCCTTTTTTCTGCCTGAAGATGTGGCAGCAGGAACCCTTGACTTCCTCATGCGAACTCCATCCTTCTGCAAGGCCACTGCGGCTGCTTCAGGGACGGCCTTACCTGACATGGAGTAATTGCAGCTGGGGGAGAGAGAGAAGGTACACCTAAGGAAGCATGAGCCTATGACTCAAGTGTAGTCCATCTGTCGAGTGTATGTTTTATATTTAATAATTTGACGCAGATATTTAAATGTTTAAGTAAGCTAGCAATTCCAGTTAGCTATGTGTTTCAGGGAAACTGCTCAGTGTGAGTATACCAGCAAGTATATTATTATTTATTCTCTTTCCAACAATGGAGACAAATTCAGCTTAAATAAATTAACAAATTATTAATTATTACAGTTACTAGTATAATGTAAAAAATTATACATTCAGTAATATAATTATTAAAATCATTAATGCTACTATTATCCAAAATTAATTTATCCTCTGAGGAATAAAATAGAGATTTTTTTCACAGAACTCATTAAAAACTGCCTATAAATCTACATACAAAATACATAGCCATAATTTGAAACCAAATGCAAGTTTAATTGTTAGATTTGAGTTCACTTTTAGCTGTTAACTTTAATTGAATTTTAGCTGTATGCTTGTAACAGCTCTCGAAGAATCGTAATCTGGTGGAATTGGAATGATCCAAGATATCTTCACCTTAAAAATATAACAACACTATAAATGTTTTAACACTGCCTGGAAAAATTAATCGTGTGGTGAAAAGATTGTATGGAAAACAGAGAGTATCTGATACTATTTAAAAAAAATTGGCATAATCTAATACTTTATTAGGTTACTAGCTAATTTAAATCTCTGTAATTACAGAAGTTTAAAATGTCATCATTTATAGCCAAAACCTGACAATAAACACCATCAAATTAAATTACTTTTAGTTTTTTGAACAGACAGCACATCCTCTGAATTACAAATGAGGTCTTGGATTAAAACTCTAAGCAACAAACACCACTATTAGAGGGCTTTAACAGCAGATTCTAACACTCCTAAAAATCAAAAGAAAAATCACATTGACTTCAGTGCATCAAAGTGCCCTGAACTCTTTGCTGCCACTATGCTAAGGATTGAACACTGGGGCATTCACCCAACTTAGAATCATAGAATCATGGAATCATAGAATGGTCTGATTGGAGGTCATCTAGTCCCGAGTCCCCTGCCATGGGACACCCTCACTAGATTAGGTTGCTCAAAGCCCCATCCACCCTGACCTGGAACACTGCCAGGGGCAGGGCATTCAGAGTTTCTCTGGGCAATCTGTGCCAGTGCCGCACAACCTCACAGCAAAGAATTTCTTGTCATTTCTTCCTTTTTAAATCTACCCTCCTTTGATTGGGAGCCATTCCTTTTTGCCCTGTTAACTCATGCCCTTGTTAGAAGTCCCTCTCTGGCTTTCCTGTTGGACTGAAAGGCTGAGGTCTGAGCTCTTCCTGGAGCATTCTCTCGTCCAGATTGAACAAACCAAGCTTTCTCGTCCTGTCCTCATAGGACATAGCTGCTGCAGTTCCCTGGCCATCCTTATGGCCCTCCTCTGGACCTGCTCCAGCAGGTCCATGTCCTTCCTATGTTGGAGTCCCCAGACCTGGATGCAGAACTCCAGGAGAGGTCTCATGAGAGTGGAGTATAAGGGGGGAATCATCTCCCTTGACCTGCTGGCCACAATTCTTTTGATGCAGCCCAGGACACGGTTGGTTTTCTGGGCTGTGAGGGCACATTGCCGGGTCATGTTGAGTTTCTTGTTAACCAACACCCTCAATTTGGTCTCCCCAGGGCTTTCAAACCAGTCTTTGCCCAGCCTGTATTTGTGCTTGGGACTGCCCAGACCTTTGCACTTGACCTTGTACTTCACGAGGTGCACACAGGCCCAACCTCTCAAGCCTGTCTGGGTCCCCCTGGATGGCATTCCTTCCATCTGGCATGTCAACCGCACCACACAGCTTGGTGTCATGGGCCAGCTTCCTGAGGGTGCACTTGATTCCACTGCCCATATTGCCAACAGAGATGTTAAACAGTGCTGGTCCCACTACCAACCCCTGAGGAAAGGCATTTATCACCTGGACATCAAACCATTGACTGAAAGTCCTTGAGTGTGACCATCCAGCCATTTCCTTATCCATGAGTGATCCACCCATCAAATCCATGTGTCTCCAATTTACAGGTAAGAGTGTCATGTGAGACAGTGTCACATGCTTTGTATCTTTGAAAACTAGATGAATGCAAGCTTTTTGCAATTTTGAAAGCTAAATGAATTATTTGACGGTGCAGATGAGTTGGACTCTGTATTCGGAGAACTACTCATTATTTAAGGAAGCAAGAATGTTTTCTGTGCTATATTTAAACTGCTTCTCAGTCACTAAAATAGTAGCTTCTGAATGAATTGTAGTACAGTCTTGATTCATTCCTTATTGGATAAAACCACTCAGAAACATAGGATCACAACCATTTTTTTATCATGGTTTTCAGACAGGTGAGAATCAAATTCAGCCAAATGTAGCTACAAGATGCTCATTAATCACCAAATAATGAAATTACCAGTCAAAATTGGTGAAAACTTTTTTTGTGAAGCCACAGCAGTGCTTTGTGAACACAGTTGAATGCAATTCTCATTTTTGTTTGGAAAGCAGTGAGATTGGATACAGATATCAAAGGCTGAAACATGGACTTTGGAAAGACCAAAGGAATGCTCAATTAATTTTACTTTGTGTTTTCTAGTGATTAAAATAACACATTTTAGCCATTGGGAATGTAACAATGGGCTTTCTAAAGAGCCATCTCCCTCGCACAATTCTGTGACACTACTTTAACTAACAAGTGAGCTACATGGCATTTTCGGTGAGAACAACACTCCTCTGTGTCATCTATTCCCAGTGGAAGATGAAACACTCCAAATGACACAATTAATCTGTGGATACTAACTATTGATTGATACTATTTGTAGGGGTGAGCAATACGTTCCCTCTGAATAAAAGAGAACAAAGGAGACATGCCCTCCCATATGTAGTTTCAGAAGATCTCTTGTGTACATATAGATTGAGTTTATTTTAGAATTTTAATTTGTAGTTGTCTTGTATTTTTTCTTGACATTTGTTTGGAAGCACAGAATCTTCACAGAACATCCTGAGCTAGAAGTGACCCATGAGGATCATTGAACTCCTGGCTCTGCACAGGACAACACCAGGAATCACACCATGTGGCTGAGAGCATTGTCCAAGCACTTCTTGAACTCTGTCAGGCTTGGTGCTGTGACCACTTCCCTGGAGAGCCTGTTCCACCCTCTGGATGAAGAATGTTTTCCTAACATCTGAACTAAATCTCTGCTTACAGAGCAGATCAACCTTATTTCTACAACTTCCTAATGTTATGTCTGAGCCTTCTTTGCTCTTAAAGCTTAAATAACATATTTTTTCTTTCATGGGTGTACGTTACGCCCAAATATGCCTTCCTGATGAATTTTATAACAGCATTGCAGTGACTGACAGTAAAACAAGTCATATATAATAATTCTGAACTAAAAGAAACTAAAAGGCTTTCTAACCTTTAAATAAAGATACCCGTGAAATACCAGTTTATCTTTCTTTGCTTGCAAATCATTAGTCTAGCATAATTTTACGCTGAAATACCTCATGTACAAGCACGTAGGTCTTCTGACTGCCTGACCAATGGTCGCTAATGTCATAACACCTGAGGCCACAGTCACAATAACATATGGAATATAAAGGTATTAAATGAAGTCAGATGATTCACAGGATAATTGATGTTATTTTGCAAATAGGCAGAGATGCGATTAAACCACCAATGATTTTTACAAATTCCATTTTAATGCTAGATATAGATTTATGGCTCTGCTTGTTTTTTTTTTCAAATGCACTGCAGAATTCTCTTCTTCAGTCAATTGACTTACCAAGTCAAATTATAAGTCATATACTATCTTGTTCTGTAGTAAACTATATACATCAGTCCATGCCACTGATTGGAGATCATGGACTACAAGGAGATCACTTATAGGACAGAACTGCAATATTCTGGTCATATATTTTCTTTGAAGTGACTTGCTGGTAACTGGATCCATATGGTGAGTGAAATTTCCTAGGCCTCTCACTTCACAGTTTTCTTTCTAGCCAAGAGAGGAGAATGGGAATGGTTTCTCAAAATTTTCTCTTTAGTGTCTGTATTTAAGGTTGTGCTTCAGGTTCCCATCAATCAGATTTGGAGAAAAATTGAGCTTTACTCTGGAACACAGTGTCCTAAAGGAATGTGACAAGGAGACTCGACACTAGGACTACAGGAAAGGACCAATAAACTCACGCACTACTACTTTGGTTGGCTATAACACATTGTTCTGAAAAACATAATGTGCACAGAGATGTTCTCTCATGTTCTGCTGGTTGATTATGGAAACATGTTGGGAAGAATGTATGTTGTGAAGAGGGTCTAGCCAATGTCTGTTCCTCTCTCTCACCTGTGCCTGTGGTACAGTGCGGAAAGAAGTGGTCTAAATGCATCACCTTGTTCAATCCTTCATATCTCCTGCAGAGAAATGAGCAGCTTTCACAAGACATTTCTCTCTTGGCACTTCTGTATAATGGCATGATTTGGCCTCACAGTGTCCTACTCACAGGGGCTGGGACCAGTTTATCAGTGTATGAGTATAACCAAAACTGTGTATTCTACACCCTCTATGTCATTTCAGATGGACTGTTAGTAAATGGATTGTTTGCAGCAGCTGCCCAGGGCACACCTGACACCCAGTCTACAAGCTGGGTGTTAAAGAAACCCTCCAAGGGAACACAGGGGAGTGTTCTTTTGTTTTCAGCTGTGAAAAGTCCCCTCCAGAAAGGTATTAATACCTTCACACTCAGCCCAAGGAGTCATCTCTGCTAATGGCCATGTTGGACTGGCATAATAGGCAGCTGCAACGACCTAGACCATCAAAGATTCCAAAAATATCCCATGACTCACCGAGTTAAATCAACCATTGTGAAACTCCTGCAGGAGGTATTGGACATTCCCACCTGAACTTGAGCATACATAAACTTGGCATTTTTGGACTTCAGGTACCTCTTGTCGGATCGAGAGGAGAACCAGAACCCCAACAGGACTGTGACTGCTGCTCTTCAATGGGACACTGACCATCATCTGGACCATCCTTTCCTTTTACTTTGCCCCCAGGGGGGGCCATGTGGTGCTCAGCACAGGGGCTCATGAACACTGTTCTGTTCTTGTCCAAGGATGCTGGGTTATACATCTGTCTTTGGGGGTTAAAACCAGTTTTCTTTGTATCATTGCATTTATTGTAATCTTCTTAGTACTTGTAACCTCACTTGAGTTGGGTTCATTTCTCCCACCAATTTACTTTTAAACCAGCACAGACCATAGCATTAGACTGAGATTGCTTTGCTATGATATTATAGCAAGAAATTTACATCAGGGCATGAAACAATAATTTTGGAGGTCAACTGCTCAGCTTCTAGTTGTTCTCTCTGAGAAGTGTGTATACTCTTCCACACTAAAAATATCTGAGATCTACTAAGTAGAAAAGGTTTTATGCAGAGGTGCACCTGCCTGTACCAGCTCTGAATTTAACCAATTTGCCATTAGGGAAAAAAATTAATTTCTTAGAAATATGTTTCCAAGAAAACTTTTCCATGTTTTGTAACTTGGACAGTGAACTGTATCAGTGAACCAGCTGGATACAACATACTAGTGTCTTTCCACTGTGACTGAAATGACACTTTCAAGGCATGTCTTATAAACATGATTTTTCCCAGACAATGTTTCTTTTATTTCCACTAGTCACGAAAGTTTAGAATTGTATTGCCAGGTTTACAAATGAAAACCAAAAAGTTACAAGGTTCTTTGGAACAGTAAAGTAAATTCTTTGCTACATGTAGTTTTTAGATACCTCTACCAGGCAAACCTGATTTTCCAACATGATGGAAGTGCAGCTCTGAAAATCTCTGGTGAATATCTCTGGTGGTATGATCAACATACTGGGGCCTTTGGACCATGGCTGTTGGAGAATTCCCATAAAAACTTAAATAAAAGGCGGTTATTTTGCTATTATTTTCTGTAAGTAACATTGGAGTTGTTTCAGACACAACTACAAATGACAGCATGAGAAGAACAAGCTTCACCTTGACAGGCATTTCATACACAGGTATTAGGATTTTATTACTGAATATAAAAAATCAAGCCCAAATCTGATGCCATCCTCTATCTGGGATGGCATTTGTAAATCATATTCTGCCTGATTCCAGTCAGTCTCTTCCACGTCAGTGACTTTTTTCTGGCATAGATCCCCAGTTCTCTGTATGCAACTACAGCATTTAATTCAATGAAAAACATCACTCTATAAGTTTCATTTCCTCTGGCATGAAGTACAATATAATTTTGTTTGTGAAATAGAAAATGAGTACTAACCTGACTCAAAATGACAGTTTAAAAAGCTTTTTTAAAAAGTTTTATTTTTATGAATAATGGGGTAGAAGGTAAAAATGCAATTGGTTTACAAATTGATCAACAATTTCAGTTTATAGTTCTTTTTTTTTTTTTTTTTTTTTTAATTAAATTTAATCTTTTTCCCCTGAATAGCCAGATTGCAATTTCCAGTCTTGGAAGACACAGATAGCTTTCAAAAATTGGCTGAAAAATACTTGAAATATAGTTGATAGCAATACTTGGTATAGTTGGACAGAATAAGGCAAATACATAGGTAAAGATCAGTTAGCAGAATCCTACATTAAACTGTGTTACTGCATGTTTAGTTTGCTTGGATGAATCATTCCACTTTTTCGACACCTTTCAAATATTATACTATTGTGCCTGATAAGACAATTTAAGTCCAACTGGTTAAATCATCAGTTGGTACAACTCAATCTCTTGTAGCAGTACTAGAATGAAACATATGTTGCTACCAAAATTCTGCCAGGGTGTTTAAATTTTCTTGCATACTTTGTTCCCACCTCAATTTTTAGCTGAAATATAGTTCAGAGAAGGGGAAAGGCAAGAAAATCCCTCACCTACTTGGATAGAAAGTTTTACATTAATATACCTGCCGGAGCTTACAATTTTTGCTCAGCAGTAGCGCTCACTGGACATTCCTGTGTAAAGTTTCAGACATTGATATATCTGTCTGGGACCAGTAGCTCTCACCATACAGCTGGATGCTTTGGAAACCTAGACATAAGTAGATCCATCTCTGATGTCCATAACCAATAGCTGCAATATTCCCCAAAATTGTCAGAAATTTGCTAGCTTCTAGACTTTGTATTGGATAATGAGACTACAATACCTTTCCTGTAATGCAGCACTGTGCAGAATTATTTCTATGTATGTTGATATCGCATCTGAAATCAAAGTACACACTACATCTATTGCTAGGTGTAGTAACAAAATTATGGTCAGCATAGTATGGGCACACATGCTATGGGCATTGTCCATAGTGTACAAATTAAGCAACAGAGAAACTCATTGAGGGAACTCAAAATCCTGAGTTGATTTCCTCCCCCAGTTTCTCTTTCCACATCCAGTCTTTCAAACAAATGCCAATATCTTTGGATAAGAGGTAACAGCCATGTGACCCCTGCTATTATTAATGAAATTTTACGAAAGCTGCTGGAGAAATCTCTCCAATTTTCAAAACTGCATGGTGATTTTTATTAATGTTTCTCCTTTTTCATTTTTTTAACCTTTGCTGAGTCAGATTTTTTCATGCCAGTGGCTTTTGGTAATTCCTTTGGGTGCTGCCAATAAATACTATATAAACAACATGAACATTTCAAAGTTTCAGCATGTACAATTGGGGCAGTGAAGTCACACCGTGAAATTGTAATGTATTGTTTTTAAACATGCAAAAGGCTTTTAAAATGGATACCACTCCTTTGCCTGCATGCTAGCTTCCTATCATCTGGAAGCATACTATGTGAGGAAAGAAATCTAGCAATTGTAGTTACTGTCAGCTGAGAATATAGATAGGCCTCGAGCAAAATATCTAGTACCCCAGGCACAGAAAGTTCTTCGAAATGTTTCCATCTAAGAACGATAGATTGTTTAATAGTGGCATGAATTTTGCTAATTGGACTAAAAAAGCTGAATCCTCTTGGAAGTACTGTTGTTGCAGGAAGGAATGTCCACAGTGACATGGATCGTGCCACAATGAGCCTGGCAGAGCCCTCTTAGCGAATCACTCATACTCGAGTGTATCCAGACAAACTCAAGCATC